AGTTCAGTGCCGAGCCGTAGGTCAGCAGGGGGCTGCTGCCCCCAGCACCCTGCCCTGAGAGGGGAAGGCGGGGTGCCGGACCAGGATGATACCCCCCCTGCCTGGTGTGGAGCATCCTGGGCTGGCGAGGGACGGAGAGAGGAGATTGTGGGCTTTCCCTCCCTAGGGCAGGTTTTCCCGGCTTGTGGGACTTAAACCTTCTCAGCAGGCTTAGTGTGCCGGAAATTCCCTGTCGCTGCAAACGCGAGGTGAAGTGCCCAAGCAGAGGCTGAGCAGCAGTGTTCTGCGGCTGGCGAGGGGGAGTTGCTTGGCAATAGATGGAAGAAGTCCTAAAGAAAGTTAAAGGAGGAAATCCAGCTACTTATAGGTTTTGACAGCTATTGTGTGGTTGTTTTTTTTTTTCTTAATAGCTTGGTCTCTCAAAACCTACTTCTCACTCCCCTCTTTAGGAGCTGCAGCAGTTTCATAGGTGATTGGAAAATGAACCCATCTGCGCTCTCCAGATCTATTGTTATTAATATGTGCTGGCTTCCCAGAGAGCTTTTCACTCCCAGGCTGAGAAAGCGACACAGGGTGTTAGTGCCTCTAAAGCACCAAAAATGTGAGGGAGAAATCCGGTGGTTTCTATGGTTGTGGACCGTGGGGCTGAGTGTCTGATGCAGGTTTCTCCTGTGGGACTGACACTGCTGTGGGACTGTCCCAAGACTTATGGGACCATCCCAGGACTGACTGCTCCACTCCCAAGTAGAAAGTTCCTGCAAAAATCCACTTTTTTCAAGGTTCTGGGGAGAAGCAGGCTGCATGTGTGTTGTGACACCTGTGGACTGGTGTCACCCATGGTAGTGCTGGGTCTGGGCAGGGTGGTGGAGAAGGTGTGGAGCATCTGGGGGCTGCTGTTCCCCTGCAGCCCGTGTCTCTGGCAGCACCTCTAGGGCAGACCCAGTTGCAGAGATGGGGATCTCATCTCTGTGCAGCTGAACGCAGGGAATTGCCACAGCTGATGCTGAGCAAATTTCTCTCTCTTTAATTGAAAGGTTTTTAATGACAGAGGAGGAGAGAGCAGCGTGAGGCAGGTGATCGCTGGAAGTGCTGGTTATTGCAGGCATGGAGCCAGTTCTGCCAGTACCTGGAGTTACAGGGCCCAGCTGCTGCAGGGGACAGGATTGGTGGCTCGGGGGGTCGCATCTCCCGTGACCCTTTGGGCTTTAGGAGGCAGTGCTGCTCCCCAGGGATTTCCCTCTGCTCCCCTCCGCTGGGTGATATCCCAGGGGGTGGCAGGGGGCTGGGGCAGGTGAGAGAGTCCAAAGCACCCCAGGAGGCAGCAGCAAGGGCACTGGTGGGCAGCCCTGGCTGCTGCTGGCTGGGAGCACAGCGTCAGAGACCCAGCTGCTAAATATAGTCCCCAGACCTGATCAAAGAAGGCAGGGCTCCTTCACACTCCCACTCGCTTGCCTTCTCCTGTTTCCTTGCCTTGAGCTTTGGAGAGGAAAATATCTTCTTCCTCCAGCTATTTGGGCTGTGTTGGAGCCGGTGGCCCCTCTTCGGGTGGAGATTTTGACCTGGGAGCAAAGGTAGATGTTTTTGGGCAGGGTGAGCTCAAAGGGCAGCAGCAAGGAGGGTGCAGGGGGGCTGTGCATGCATGTAGCACGTCTGGGACGCTGGGGCAGTGCTGGCATCCAGCTGGGGTCTGCCAGCCTGGGCAGCCCTTGCTTGTTGGGGTTTCCTCCTCAGCTGCAACTTTTTGAGGAAGAATAAACAGTGCTTATGCTGGGAGCCAGGAAGGTGTTTTTGGGGGCTTCTCTGCCAAAATCATATGTTGATTGCCCTCTGCTTACATTGCTCAGTGAAAGCATTGGAACACTGTGGCCCCAGAGACTTCTCAAAGCCATGGGACTCGGTAAAGGGGAAACTGAGAGATGGGGCAGTTGTGCGTCCTGAGCAGCTGCAAAGCCACAGATAGTGTCCGTGTCTCATGTCCTGCTTTTGCTGTCAGCTGCCCGCAGGAGCAGTGAGAGCTGGGGAATGTGTCCCTCCTGGGAGGCAGCCAAGCCGGCGCTGGCCTGGGGAAGCTGACGTGGTTTTTTCCTTCC